CTCGCAGCCAGCGGCCCAGTGAGCCGCTCCGCCTCCCGCCATGGCCTCCCACCCATCCCCAGCGCCCGAGGACGGAGGTGGGTCCCTACCTCTCACACAGATGAGGAGAGGACCAAGAAGAAAGGGCAGCTTCCGAGACTTGTGGGCAGTGTCCCTTTTGTCAAGTGGCCCTTTCTTGAAAAAGGGGGAAAGAAAAGTTGAGACGGCGCGCCTGAGGAGCCGGAGCACAGGAGCTCGCGGCGACGTCATACATGCGGACGCATGCGCTCCTTGCACAGGCTTGGCCCGCGCGGCGATACGAGCGCACCCGCAGGAAGGAGCCCCCTAACCCCCGCGAGAGACCCTCTACTTCAGTCTTTGTTTCTTTTATTATGAGTCTAATGTTCTCAGTCTTCCGCCCCTTCACTGCTGGAGAGGATAGGGCTGGTTGGATCCAGGCCCCTTCATCACTATCTCCAATGTCCAGCGGCTCATCCTGGCAGCCCAAAGATCACAGGGAAAAGGCCGGCGATCAGCAGTGTCCCTAGAAGCTAAAGGTACTGCCTCTCCACCCCTACTGCCCCTCACTTTGCACCCCAAATGGGAAGGATAGAGTCTGAATAAACCCAAGTTTTAGTCTCTCCTCTTCGTGTCTATTTGTGCGGATGTCCCAAAGTCTGGGTCCTCACTGTGGGGTAAAAACAGCCACACCTCCAGGTGCTCCTTTTTCCCAGCCGCAACAGTGTTGGAAGGCTCTGAAAAGCCACACCTTCTACCATCTTGCTGGGAACCAGAAAGGCCTGCCCATCCCCTGTTCTCCTTGCTCCCCAAGCCCCATACATACACACACTGCTGCCTCTCTACCTCTGGTTTCCCGCCTGGAGGTTCTCAGGCAGCATCCTGGAGTGGAATCTGAACAGATCCCTGCTCCAGAGTGGAAGAATGGCCCAGCCAGGCCTGGGAAGCAGGGAGGGTGACAAGCCAAGAGAACTCGAGTAGCCAAGATGGCTGGACCACTTCCTTCGGGTCAGGCCAGGTGCAATGTGCAGAGCAGGGGTTCCTGGGAAGGGAAGAGCATAGATCCTGGCCTAGGAAGTCAGAATGACTTGGTGAAGGGTCCTTTCAACACTCTCAAAAATTATTGAGTGCCTGCTGCATGCCAGGCCTGTAATAGGCAGCAGGGACCCAGAAGTGAGGTCTAATGGGGTCATGCTCTCAGGGACCTGACTTTATAGGATGAAGAGGCAGAGAGACCATGAGTAAACAGGAAAAATCCGATCAGGAATAACGGCTGTACACCCGACTAGGTACATCTGCCACTCTGGGGTAGGGGTCTTAAAACATGATGATGTGACAGTGATGGGGGTTGCCTTAGAGAATGTGACCAAGGCAGACCTCTGCAAAGGGAAAAAAAAATTCACCTAAGATCTGAATAACAAAGAGCCAGTTTTGGGAAAAATTAGGGGGAAGTCCCTGCTAGGCAGCGGAACAAGTACATGCAAAAACCCAGAGGTGGGAGTAAGTGTAGTTCCTGGATTTCTTAGATACCCTTCCATATAAGAAGGGGCTTTACCAACTATGACTGTCCACTCCTCCCACACATACACACATCCTGTCCCCCACAAGGTTAGGTGGGAACATGCCCAGACTTTGCTTCAGCTGAACAGGCAGGCTTCCATCCCACCAGCAGCCAAGGGCTCAGTCCTCCATCCCCCTCCCAGGCCCCTAATTGCCTGCTCCACTGACATTCCCCTAGGGCAGCAGAGTCTGAGCTGGAAGCAGCCTGTCCCCTGGAAGACTGTGGTGTGTGAGAGCAATTAAGATAGCAAATCTACCTACCTGGGCTTGTTACACTCCTTGCTATCACCCCCTCGCCACATGTCCTTGCCCTCTGTGGAATCTCACTTGATTACAGGGCCCAGCAGCTTATAGCATGAGTTCCCAGTGTTCTCATTTGTAAAGTGGGCACAATTATAGTGCCTACTATTATGAAGATTACGTGAAGTAATATGTGTAAAGTGTTTGGAGCTAAGCCCAGCATCTGGAACTCAAGGATGTTCACTTTTAGTATTGTAATTATTAGTTTTATTGTATCTCTTTTCTCACCTCCAGGTGGAGTCCCTGTCTTGTTCATCTCAGTGTCCTTACTGCTTATCACAAGTGCCTAGAAGGCACTGCATAAATGTCAATTAAATGAACCCATAGATAAGTGAAATGATTGAGTGAATTCACTGATTCAGCTAACTAACATTTATTGAGCACCTGCTTCATGACAGGTTCCATCCAGGGTGCTGAGAATAGAGATGAACATGGCAGAATTTATTCCTGACCTCATGGAACTTAGAGAGGACAGTATATTATAAGCAGATAAGTTTAGAAGGGAGCAATAGTGTAAAGGAAACAAAAACAAGGTCAGTCCACGAGAAAAGGGTTGGCAGTTACTTTAGCTTGGGTAGGTGGATAAGGCATCCCTGGGGAAGTGACCTGAATGACAAAGGAGCCAGTACTAACGCCTGGAGGTGGCGGCCTAGGAGGAAGAGTGGGGAGAGGTTGGTGTGCGGATGCTGAGCGCGCCAGCGGGCAACTCGCACCAGGGAGAGCAGCGACCGCTTGGTGACGCCTCGCCCAGTGCCCTGTACACCTGCCGTCACACCTGCCCCTAAGGCCTAGGCGCTGCCTCTCCTCCAGCCAGGAAAGGGGCGGGCCTTGAAGCTGTGGCGGGAGGCGGAGCGTGCGTCGCCCAGACTCCGCCCCGGAGCCCGGGGGGGAAAGGGGGCGTGTTCCCGTCCTCCGTCGCCAAGGTGACGATGACGTCACAGGGCCGCAGGGTTCGGAACGTTTCGGGCGGCGGCAGCCGTTGCTAGGAAACGCGGGACAGGCGCGCAGCCAGGGGCCGGCTCCGCGAGGCAGACGCCGGACGCCAGTACGCGCCGTCCTGGCCGGCCCTTGCTCGGAGCCTCCCTCCCGGATTCCAGAAGGATGCCGGTTCTGGCCCTCACCCTTGTCGCGGCCTCACCCGGCACCGTCCTGCCTGCCGGGCGCCTTCTCCCTTCTCCTCACTTTCTGCCACTGCCTCTGGGTCCCAAGTGTGACTACCAGTCCTGGCCGCAGGTCATCATCCACTCCCCTTTCCTGGACCACTGCCATAGCCTCCTAAGTGGCCTTCCTCCCTTTGCCCTGTCTTTACAGTCTGTCATCCACCTGGCACCTAAAGCTCTTATCAAGAGTTTACCAGACCAAGTCACTTCTGTATAATACCCTTCACCGTCTTCCCAGCCCACCCAGTCTGAAATCTAAATCTTCTCAGCTGCCTGTATGACTAGAATGACTTGCCTCTTTACCTTCCTCTCCAACTTCTTTGCCCCACTCTCCTCACCCACATCCCTCTAGTTACACTGGCCTCCCAGATCTTCACTGAACGCACCAAGCTGATTCCTGTTTCAGCGCCTTTGCACTTGCTGTACCCTCTGCCTGGAAGTCTTTTCTCCCAGATCTTTAGTGGCTGGGCTCTTTCTCACTCAGATTCCAGTTCAAAGCCTCTCTCTCTAGAAAGGCCTATCCTGATGCATACCTTCCCTGCCTCGCCCACCTATCCCAGCACTACCCCCACCTACCCCAATCTAAAAGAAGCCTTCCTCCAAGTTATCGTGCTGTTTTTTGTTTTCCTGAGGGAGGACCTATCGCAATATGAAATTATCTCGCTCACATATTTGCTTGTTTATTGTCAGTGTCTGTATACAATTCTTGCATAGCAAACTACCTCAAATTTAGTGGTTTAAACCATTTTATGATGCTCATGAATTCTATGGGTCAGGAATTTGGACAGAACACAGCAGGGATGGCTTGTCTCTGTGCCATGATGTGTGGGGCCTCTGCTGGGAAATCCCAAAGGCTGGGAATAATCCGACAGCTAGGGCCTGCAAACATCTGAGGACTCACTCACTCAAATGTCTGGCGGTTGATGCTGGCTATTGGCTGGGATCTCAGCTGGGCTGTCAGCCAGAACACATACGCAAGGCCTCTCCGTGTGGCCCGGGCCTCCTCACAGTATGGCAGTCTCAGGGTGGTTGGACTTCCTGCATTTCATCTCAAGGCTCCAAAGGCATGTGTCCCAACTAACAAGGCAGAAGCTGTATTGCCTTTTATGATCTAGCCTCAGAAATCATGCAAAATCACTTCTGCTGCATTCTGTTGGTTACAAGTGACGTACAAGTCTGTGTAGTTTGACTGGAAGGAGAATTAAGGACACCACATTTTGATGAGAAAGAGGCAACGTTCTGGAAGAACATGTAGACGTCTTTGGAAAGTGCCATTTCCGCAGCCAAGTCTTCCCCCACCAGAATATTATCTCCATGCCAACGGCTGCTCACTTGTTTACTGTTGCATCTCCAGTGCCTAGTATGGTACAGAAGCACATAGTAGGTGCTCAAGCCGTGATTTAGAGTGAGTAAATGAAGGTTTGTCTTTCAGGAAATCATCTGAGCCCCGCTCTTCTCCCATGCCAGCCCTTGATTTTGGTCTGGCTTGCTTTGGAGGAAGCCCAGTATTTGCACTGGAAGGTGGGAGTCAAGTATAGTTTTTGTTTGTTTTTTGTTTTCTGGCGGGGAGTGGAAGGTGGGGGAGTGGAAGGGCAGTTATTGGAGACTGAGAAATGTGTAGCCAAATGAGGTTCTGGAACAGTGTTCTACTGTAAGGGGTGTTGAAAACCCAGTCTGTTTTTTCTCATTCTGAACTCTGGAAATGCCCAGGTGAGGACTGTGGTTTTGTCCTCTGGGCCATGGGGAGCAGGAAAGCAGCCTGGTGGGAATGGAGCTTTGGAGAGGTGCCTCGGGCAGCAGAGAGGGGGTTGGAATAGTTCATAGGAGCCACTGCAGAGATCTGGGCAAGAGGTGGCCCTGAAGCCGCTCACATGCCTATTAAGGTACTCAAACTCTCCCTGCTTTGTTATTGGTGAAGGATCTTCCATTTGATCTTCCCAAAGTCCTGAAGCCTGAAGTTTCTCCTCTTGTTTCTCCTTTTCCATGAGGGGCAAACCAGAGAAGTCAGCCCAGGTTTCTCCTGGCCCTACCCCCTCACATTTATCTGTGGCTTCTCCCTTCCCCTCCCTTCCATCTCCGCTGTTGCTCGGAAAGGGTTTGGATGTCATATTTCAGCAACAGTCATCCCAATGCCCTTCCCACCTCCAGTGCCACCCTCAACTGTCAGTCCTCCAGTCCAGCCCTGCAGTGGCTCCTCACCACCTCCGCCATAAAATCCACACTCCTCAGGTCATTCAAGGCCTTTCTGTGCAACTGTAACCTGTGTTTATAACCTCTCTTGCTCCATTCCCCCAAGAGAATCATACCTTCCAGGTCCTTTAATGTTGCATCCAGGCCATGTCATACCACCCTGGTTTTGTGAGGGCCACCTTACCCACTGGACACAGCAGGCAGGGATGGAGCCTCCAGCCTACAATACTTTAGGGGTCCATGAAAATATTTTAACTTCTCTTACAACCAGAAGAAAAAAAGAACTTTTAGGCAGAAGAAAATGCTTTAATATATAACATGAACATATTCCTCTTTACACCATCACAGTTGTAAGATATTTTAAAATATTTTTTTGTGGAGGAAGAAGCCCATGTAGGCCAAAGGGCCTAGGGCTTACAAAAGTCATAATGCAGCTCCCCTTTTAACCCCCTTGTCATTTTTGGAAAGCTTGGTGTTGAAGACTCAGCTCTGAGGCAACCTCTTCAAGGAAGCAAAAGCCATAGACAGTGTCCTTTTCTGACCTCTCAACCTTATGCAGTTTCCTAATTTGGAAAACACAATATTCGGTTTTGTGCGTCGTCCCCCTCCCCCACTTCCCGTTGGTACCTGCAAGTCAGTAGCCCTTGTACACACACGCACAGCCCCTTTTTCTCCATCTTGGGAGTACCCGCTCCCCACCTGTGGCTGAGTTGCCAAATTAGACGACCAACTAATTCCCAAAGAAAACTGGCAGGCAGAGGCTCAGCCTAGCGGCACCCGGCAATTACCCCCTAGTCCCAAATCAGTAGCCAGGGGCACTGGGGTCCGAGTCCCGGGGGAGGTGTGTGCCCGGCTGCGGGCCTCGGGGGCGGGGCCTCGGGTCCGCAGCCAGCTCCACCCCTCCCCATCCGAAGGAGGAAGCTGGCCCCCGTCCCCCTCCCCCGCCCCGATGCACCCTCTTCCTCCTCCCCTCCCGCCTCCCCGTTAGTTTTCTTACGAAAAAGTGCTGCTGAGAATTCCCAGAAGGTTCCGGATGTGAAGTCACCGGCGTGAGGTCACCGAGCCTGGTTCCAGGAATCTGAAGCTTGTGGGGGAGGAAGGAAAGCGTCGAAAACAGGGGAGCCAGAGGAGCGAGAGGAGCCGTGGGTGTTGGCGGCGGGGCCGCCTGGCTGGGCTGAGTCCCACGCTCGTCTCCAGCCTCGTCTTCAGACCCCAGGAGAAGGTCCAAGGGAAAAGATGCTTCACTACTCCCACAGAATAGAAATGCCATGTGAAACCAACATACTGATCCAAAAGGAGTACTTACCCACTGTTGGCGACTGGAGTGAAGTGAAGAACCTGGCAACAGGATCAGACTTTTAAATGTACATACTCTTTGACCTAACGATTGCGCATATAGGGATTTGTCCCACAGACAAGAATACAAGGATTAATGTGAATACAAGGATAAATGCAGAAAGTGGGCAGCATTGTTTGAAATACTGAAGATTGGAAACCCTCCTAAATGTCCATCTGTAGCGAACTTGTGAAATAAATGACAAGGTCCTCTGTGCCCTGGGATACTCTGCCTTATAGAAAAGAATGAGGCAGTTGTTTATGGACCAAATGTCCAGGATATAGTGTTAGGTGAACAAAACCAAGGAGCATCCTCTAAACTCCTGTCTGTGCTCCCCGTTGTGGTGATTTCTTAAAGACAGCTATTCATGTAACAAATAATATTGAGCGCCTACCAAGTACTAGCCATGTTGCAGATACTGGGGATGTAGCAGTGAGCAAATCAGCTAAGGCCCTGATTTGTGCAGCTCATGGGAGGTGGGGGTAACAAATGAAATGCGTTGGGTGTGGATAAGCACCATAAAGGAAAATGAGGAGAAAACACAGTTCAGAAAATGTTGGACACTGTGCTACTTTAGATGATGGTCAGGGAAGTCTTCTTGAACATGTTGGCATTTGAGCAGAGAATGGGATGAGAGAATTTCAGATATCTGTCAGGCAGAGAAAGTGCAAAGGCCCTGAGGCTGGATTTTACCTGAAGCATGAAGAGCAGTGAGGAGACCACTGTGGCTGAAGCAGAATGGGCAAGGGGCCGAGTGGTAGAAGGGACTATGGCCAGGTTGGGAAGGTAAGGGAGCGAAGCCACGTAGGACCTTGCAGGGGCTTTGGTTTTTAGAGTGAGATGGGAAGCCAGCGGAAGATCTTGAGCAAAGGTGTGACATGATCTGACTTAGGTTCTAACAAATCACTCTGGTTGCTGAGTGGAGACAGACAACAGAGGCAGAAGGGTGGAATCAGGGAGCCCAGGAAGGAGGCTATTGCCTCCAGGTGAGACACAAGAGTGGTTGGACCAGGGCGATAGAAAGTGTCAAGCAGTGATGTGCTTCTAGATAAATTTTGATTGTAGAGCTGACAGAATTTGCTGAGAGGCCAGATGTGAGTGTGAGAGAAAGAGGAGTCAAGAGTGACTGTTTAAGGGAAGCCTTGTGCACCGTCAGTGGGAAAGTAAATTGGTGCAGCCACTGTAGAAAACAATAAGGAGGTTTCCCAAAAAACTAAAAATAGATTTACCATAAGACCCAGCAGTTCCACTCCTGAGTATATATCCGAAAAAAACAAAAACATTAATTCAAAAGGTCCATGCACCCCAATGTTTACAGCATCATTATTTACAATAACCAAGATACGGAGGCAAACTAAGTGTTCATCAACAGATGAACAGATAAAGAAGATGTGGTGTACATATACAATGGAATAGTCCTCATCCAAAAAAAAAAAAGAATGAAACTTTGCCATCTGCAGCAACATGGATGGATTTGGAGGGTATTATGCTAAGTGAAATGTCAGAGAAAGACAACTACTGTATGTTCTCATTTATACATAGAATCTAAAAAATACAACAAACTATTGTGGATGTAACAAAAAAGAAACAGATTCACAGATAGTAGAAAACAAACTAGTGGTTACGAGTGGGGAGATCAAAATGAGGAAGGGAAATATAGTGGTAGAGGATTAAGAGGTACAAACTATCAGGTATAAAACAAGCTACAAGGATACACTGTACAGCACAGGGAATAGAGCCAACATTTTATAACAACTATAAATGGAGCATAACCTTTAAAAATTGTGAAACACTATACTGTATATTTGTAATTTATATAATAGTGTACATCACCTATACGTCAATAAAATAAATAATTTAATTTAATTTAATTTAAAAAGAGTAATGTGTAACTACAAGCTTGGAGTTATCATTTACCAAGATAAGGAAGACTGTGGAGGAGCAGGCTTTTTAGAGAGTGGGGTGGGACTTAGTAGTCTGAGCTGCTAATTATGTAGGTCAGGAGTTCAGGGGTCATAGAAATAAGAGAGATGTTTGGAATTTGTAGCAGAGAAGGTCCCAGAGGGAAACAGCTGGCACACTTGGATTGAGAAATTTAAGGAGGGTTTAATAAAAGTACTCTTTACAGAAGCGTAGCAGGGTATAAAGAAACCATGAGGAACAGTGTAGGACCCCAGGGTTAGCAATGGGGGCTTAACCATCTATAGTTCTGAAGGCGTGTAAGGAGGGAGTTGCTGGAACCTAAGTGGAGAGGACAATAACCAAGCCTGGGTGGTTTTGTCCAAGGAAGATTTATTTTTGATATAAAAGTCTGGAGGTTGCCAACTGACAGGCGCTGAGGCCTTTGGTGGATGAGTGCAGCCAGTCCAGGGCAGCCCTACAGGGAAAACATACATCCTGACCTCTTCCTCCCTTCATCCCTCCCTCCCTCCATCTGAGCTCAGCTCATGTCTCTGTGGGCCCCATGGGAAGCGGGAGGGCAAGGGAGCCCACAGAGGCGGCTCACACAGGTCAGTCCCCAGGCACAGAGCTGGAAGGAGACAGTGGGAGTGGGTCTGGGGCGGAGAATGGAAGATGCCCAAGGCAAGGGTCAGCAGTGAGGATGATGTGCAAAGACATGGCTGGAGAAGGGGCCACTTAGAGAGTGAGCAGAGGTAGAAAAGGGGCAGAGGTCACTGCTCTGGGTCCCTCTGATGTTTAGAGATTGGGAGATAAAGTAGAACCAGGATAGGTTCCTCCAGAGGAGCAGTGGGTGAGACAGGAGAGCAAAGGGAGCCATGCCCATGACCACGGGACACAGCATGTCCAAAAGGAGAGAGGGAGGGAGAGGGCGGGCTGGGACACATGCTCCTAGTAGGTCACATAGGATGAGGGATACATGTGTGGGGTGTGTGTGTGTGTGTGTGAGAGAGAGAGAGAGAGAGAGTTAAAGAGAAAGAGAGAACAGGTGCATACACTGTTTCTGCAAAGAGATACCTAGGGTAAGCAGAAGGAAAGGAGACAGCTTTTCCTTTGCTTCCATTGTGGATATTTGTAATCATGTACACGTAAGAATTTTATCAAAGGGAAGACCATATAGTTTTTTTTTTAAGACTCTCCCATGGCTGGAGAGATACAATTTTACAGAAAGAGCAGATCCACAGTTTTCCCTAACAAACTGGAAGACATGCGTGGGGTGGCACTGGGGCTTGAGGAGGACAACTGATGCAGTCTGAGTGAGAGTGCTGCTGGAAGGATCTCTTCCTTGAGTCAATCCAGCCAATGGCTTTAGGAGCAGTGGCCTCAGAAATCCATCTTGGACTATGTCCTGTGATGTGCTATAATCCTCCTGAGTTACTTGCCCCAACTCTGCCCAATCTAAGACCTCAGGAAAACTTAATTCTTCGCATCTTAATATCTTTTAAAATAATTGTACATGTCATGCTTTATGTATTTTTAATCTTGTATATATAAAAAATTAATACCCTTTCTTGGATGAAATCACACAAACTTGGATGGTGTTCTCTTGGAAGAGACTGATCCTCATAATTTTCTTTCTGATGAAGCTGTGCCTTGGACATGGTATTTCTTCTCTGCAGAGCAAAGAATCCTTTGGATTAGAAACTTTTCTTTTTTTTTCAGTTAAGAATCAGCTCCAAGTGGAAATTATTTCAGGATTGTGCATTGATTCTTATCTTTGTTGCTGATCATGAGGATGTCGATCTACTTAAGCGTCCTAGAGGAACCAGCCTCTCAGGAGCCTCAGACCAATTTGAGGAAGCTTTTTACCTAGAGATGGAGGTAGGGGAGTGGGAGGGAGGCTGGTGGAGGCAGCATTAGGTAACTCATGTGCCCTCCTTCCTGGGGCTCCTTCCTTGGGCTCACAGGGGCCACTCCCAGTCTAACAGACCTGAGACTTCTCTGACTCAAAAGTTCCCCCAAAGGGAAGGACCAGAGAGGGAAGGGAGTCACCAGCCCACCTCCCCTCCGGGGGACTGACTATGACATGTTAAGTCTGGGCCCCACTTCCCTCTCCATCTCTCACTCCCAGAATAACTCAAACTTCTCAATATGCCCTAAGCCTTTGAGTCTCTCTGTTTCTGTTGTACTAAAAAGAAGATTCCATGAGAGCAGAGACCTTGTCTGTGTTATTTGTCATTAGTGATCAGAGACCAGAACAGTGTTTTGTACATAGTTTGGCAAACAGCACGAATGAATGCCCAAAATGACTGTTCTACAGCTCAACCTATCTTTCAAGAAAGACTCTCCTGATCATCCCTCACTACACACACTGTCTCCACCATCTCCTAAGAACCTGCTTCCTGGGGTTGGCAGCCTCCACCCAGCAGTGCCCTGGAGCCGGCACAAACTGCCTGGAGAGCTGAGTGTGCACATCTCTTCCCAGTAGGCTGAAATCAGCCGTGGTGGGAAAATTTACACCATGCAAGTTGGCGAACACTGCAAATCATGACTTCTTTTTTTTTCCAGTGAAGAACTGGTTGTTAAATGTTTACCAACATACTGCAACTGCCTCCAGCCACGTTTCTTGCCACCTACAAGCTCTATGATTCAGACAAGTCACTCAATCACTCTCAGCTTCAGTTCTCTGTAAGGTGGAGACAGTCTCTGCCTAGTAGGAATGTCTGGAGGATTAAGTGTGACTATAGCCCTGTAAGGTGTTTAGTACAATGTTTGGCTTCTAGTAAATACACAATACACTTTAATATGGTTCCAGTTATCTATTGCTGCATCTCAAACCACCTCCAAATTTTAATGGTTTAATACACAACCTTCATTTTGCTAATGAATCTATGATATGGGCAGAACGTAGTAAAGCTAGCTCACAATCAGAGAGGCACGAAGGCTGGGGACTGCAATCATCTGAAACCTTGAAACCTTGCTCACTCATACTTCTGACTTTTAATGCTGGCTGTCAACTGAGAACTTAGCTGGGCTATTTTTTTTTTAATTTGTACTTTTAGTGGAGGTACTGGGGATTGAACCCAGGACCCTGTGCATGCTA